TTCGACATTCAACTTGTGTTTTGCCCGATGGAGGATCCCTGTTTCTCGACCGGCCAGTCCGTACGCGTAGTACCTGCGCCGTATAAGAGAAATTATGCCCTGTCGGTAGGATTAAGGATTTTAGCGGTAAGTCTGTATCGTTTCAATGATTTAATGTTACTTTCAACTTTAATTCTCTTTCAAACATGTGCAAGTTTGTAAATTTCTTAAAATCTTGTTAACGTAGAGTGTTTTCAGGACCTTAATTTTTGTCAAATAAAATTGTTTATATTGTGGCTGTTTATATTAATATATTAATATAAACTATAATGTTTATATTAATTTTTTATATTTATCAAAAAAAAAAAAAAAAAATATCGATCAAAGAATACAATTTTTGACTTTGAAAAATAATAATAATAACGTTATAAATTTTGACAGAAAATTGATCGAACCTTCACGCACTATAGTAATTCCATATGTGCCTGATATTCTCAAACCAACCATAAACCTATGTAAAAAATTAAATATCTCAATAGTCTTTTCAACCCTTATGAAACTTCATAACAATTTACTTCCATCCCCTAAGGACAGAATTCCAAAATTCGAGAAGACCAACGTTATATATAAATTAAGTTGTAATGATTGTAACGGCATATGTATTGGCCAGACAATACAAGAACTAAGAAAAAGAGTTTCTGCTCATAAACATTCACAACTACGCAAAAAGACCAACACAGCGTTATGTAAACACTCTACGAATTTAAAACATACATTTTGCTTCGACCAAAACAGCGTTAAAATCTTAGATGTCGAAGGTTCTTATAGAAACAGAAACTTTTTAGAAATGTATTACATCGCAAAGGACTCAAATTCCGTAAATTTCCGAACTGATATTGACAATCTATCAATAATGTATTTTGATATTATTGGAACATGTGATAGAATTTCGAACACTAAAGGACAATAATTCCGGTGCATACCTATACATCTATGAAATAACCTTCATATTATTTGAAGGAATTTCTGTCACTGTGAATCAATCTTTATATATTTTTTCTTCTACAGTTTGTGTTGTGTCATAGACTTTACTATTGTATATTTTATGTTTTTTGAAATTGTATCACTGTCCTTTGTAATGATGAGCACATGTGTTATTTATTTTGTTTATTATTTTTATGTTTATTTATCAATTTGGAATGTTCTGTTGGATTTTTATTTGTTATAAAATGAAGGAAGTCTCGATGGTTCTTGTTCAAACAAGAATCCAGTAAATCCGAACAAATTTTATTCCATTTTTTGACAGGTCTCGACTTCGAGGTTATGTTGGCCTTTAAAAACTTTTCGAATTTAAATTTTTTAAAAGTTTTATAAATTTGTATCATTGAACAATGTGGTAGGTCTATTCCACACACAATGTTGCTATTGATTTCATATTTTCTATTTACTCAACTTTTTTATATTTTTTCTGTAGTCCTGATGAGCTGTGTTCACAGTGAAAATGCATTCGATGAAATAAAGTAATAATTGCTGATTTTTAACAACTTTCTCAAATCTTTTGGACCCAAGGCCACAATATAAACAATTTTATTTAAAATCTTGTTAAAATAAAATTTTAATGTGAATGCCAAATCTGATTTTATTTATTTTAAAACTCCTGAAATAAATAAAGTAAATTAAAATAATTATTTATCAGAGTTAAAACAAAGCAGAAACAGTAACTTTTAAAAGTAGGATCACGAACCCACACAATTAAACAGGGCCTTAAGGACCCTGGCAGCTTGGTGCCTCCCCAAACCGAATTTAAATAAGAGCCATCTCAAAAGCTCGAATAAAAGGAACAACATAAATTTATTATTCTGGTTTGTAACAAAAAAATATCAATTATTTATCTATGTTTATTTAATTATTCATTTAATATTTTTAATTTTTAAATGTTTTAAAAGTTGAATTTTGTAATGATTATAATTTTATTATGAGTTATTTAATATTCATTTTTAATAATTAAAATAATTCTGGATTAGTATGTGTAAAATTTTTAGTCATAGTTTTCACTTTGCCCTTATAAGTAACAAAATATACGGCACTGGCATTAATATATTAGATTAGCCCGAGTTCTCATCGAGACTCACTGGCCGTGCGGTTTAAGTGGTTGCGTCAAGGACTTCCGGAATGCGTCTGGGGCGGGGGGACGTGAGTTCGATCCCACATGCGAGCGGATTTTTTCATTATATATAAGCGTTACATAAAATAATAAAATTACTATTTAATCTGTATAATTAATAAGTGTTGTTAAAAAAAATTGTGAACTTGTTTGTAAATAATATTAAAAGTCTGTTAAAAATGAAGTTAAAAAATGTACCAATTATCACAAATTGTCTTTTTTTGCGAAAATTATTTTTCAATATTATTATGTTAAATGACATTTATTGTTAGTAATATAATATTTATATGAAAATAATATAATTATTATAATAATAACTTATTGTCATTAAATATGTAAATACATATATATATATATTAATAACAATACTGTTTATTATTAATAATAATAATTAATATATTCACGTTATATTGAATGAACGCGTGAAAAGCGTGTAACTTTGGAAACAGTGGAAGCAGTCTTGTTCAGTCCTGCTTTCGGCTTCCGCAGCATTGATTGAAGATTAAACGCCAGTCTTCAACAAAGACTGAGCGTCAGGTTTATATCGATGTTACTATTCCGGACTCAAGCAGCCTTGCTTTCGTTGTCCCACCAATCTTCAACCAATACTGACCAAGCCTCAATCAAGCTTCGTAAAGCCTGAACTCACTGTCAGATCGCGCCTGGGCAGCATTATATCAATTACATTCAAAAATTTTGCTCACATCAATGATTTTCAATATCTACTATTTTAATAGACCCAAAAGAATTCAAATATTTAGAAAAAATTTGTATAAAATTGTACTTAAACATTTAATTATTTTCATAAATAATAAATATTTCACAGCAATTCAATTATTAACAAATTTTTTATAAATTTCTTTGCAATAATTCAATTAACCACTTCACTGGCAGGGCGTTCCAAATGGCGTTCCACGCGCCTAGGCCCAGACTGGAAAAACACCGAAATGGCGTTCCTAATAAAACTTTATTTTTTAAGAGTGTACACTACTTTTAACAAAGCAATATTTCTATAGTTTAGACATCACGGAACAAGATTATCACAAAAAAAGTTTCAGTTTTTGAGATTTTCAATGTTTCTTCGAACGTTGAAATACTCAATTTACCACTTTTTCACCAAAGGGGCCGTACACATAATACGTCACGCGGCTAGGGGGAGGGAGGGGGTCTGAGAATTGTGACTAAGTGTGACATGGGGGAGGGGGGGTGAACTCATGTGTTACGTCACATTTAAATTTCTCCCTCCAATAAATGTCTATCGTCAAATTTTCTTAAAAATATAGCTTGAAACTTTCCTGAACATTTGAATTGCATTTTCGACTATATATACTTTCGTGAAAATCTTCCTGAAAATTTAACTTAAATTTTTGGGAAAGTTTCCCGCTAAACATTTATTGAAGTGGGATATTTAAATCTTTACACAATTTTCACTAAACTTTGCATTTAAATATTTCGAAGCTTGCGAGTAAATCTTTAGTTAATTTTTAGGAAAGTTTCAGTGCTATGTAGGTAGTTAAACGTGACTAATTGAATCAATCAAAAACAATTGTATTGAAACATCAGTTATTTTTAACTAATTGTCAGAAAAAAATATTACTATTTGAATAAGTGACTGACTTTTTGCTTCTAAATCAGGCATTTTTAACTGATTCAATAATTTAGAGTGTAAGATATAATATATATTGTCCCATGTATAAAATTTACAGTGAAATTTACGTGTGTGACGTGACGTAGCGGGGAGGGGGGGTTCAAGATTTGTGACGAAGTGTGACATAGGGGGAGGGAGGGGTTAAAAATGGTCAAAAATCGCGTGACGTGTTATGTGTACGGCCCCAAATGGCGTTCCACTTTCTTTCAATTTTTACGCAGTAAAACTCATATTTTTTATTTTTAAAAAATGTATTTATATACAATATTATATAATAATAATGTAATAAATAAAAAATAAATATAAATAATTGATAAATAAAATATAATAATTATTAATAATAACAATTACTATTATTGTTATAATTATAATTATAATTATTGCATTATATTACTATCCACATAGCACAATAGTATGAGGTAAGGTTATGTTGAATACTAATCGTAAGACTCATAAGGTTACACGATATTGCTGTGGTAGACCTAAGGGGAACTAAAAACTTTCGCCATGGAGGTAAGGTTACATGTTAGGGTGTGGTAAGTATATATGATAAGGCTGTGGTAACCTTACACGTTAAGGTTGATGTAACCTTACACGTTAAGGTGGATGTAACCTTACACGTTAAGGTTGAGGTAACCTTACACGTTAAGGTTGAGGTAACGTTACACGTTAAGGTTGAGGTAACGTTACATGTTAAGGTTGAGGTAAGGTTATATGTCAAGGTTGAGGTAAGGTAATTAATAAGTTGTAAGGTTAAGGTAAGGTTGTGATAAGTTTACCAGTTATGGAAAATATTGACAAAATAATTAATAATATAATTAATAAATAAATATTAAATTAAAAAGTTAAGTTTGTTACTCTTCTCTATTTTGGAAACCTGACATGAAGCAGAAAATTTTGAAAACAAATTTGGGGGGACTGGGATTCGAACCCGGGATCGACGCGTATAAACCAATCATTCTAACTAACTGAGCTAAGTACAGAACTGTCAAAAGGAAAATCAATTTTGCCTTTAAGGTGAACCAAGAATATGATTAACTCCTTAAAGGCAAAATTAATTTTCTTGCTACCAGTTCTCCACTTAGCTCAGTTAGTTAGGATGTTATGGAGAGTCCACAATAGGTGCAAATGCTAGGCTAGTGCAAGTACAAGTGCAAGTGTCACAGAGTTGGACTTGGTTGCGCGCGCACCGTGTTGCCAACTGTTGCGGAGTTCGTGAAAAAAGTTTTTCCTTTTGGTTTTGAAACTTCGCCGTTTTTGACAAATTTGTCTTAATTTAACACCGCCCAGCATTTATTAATTAAATTATTTAAATTCTTACGCATTTTCATCAAGTAAGTAATTATTTTTTTACTAAAATTTTAAATTACCTCACCAAAGCCACAAAATATTATAGGTTATGTTTACTATATTAAGATTTTATTAATTTTTTTATTATTATTAATGTTATTTAATTAATAAACTAATGTTCTCATAACCTCTGAAATATTTAATAAATATTATTTTTGATTTTCTTAAATTGAAAGAAAATTTTTTATCAAACTTTATTTATGATTTTTTTCTGCTCCTTTTTATTTATTCGACACATTTTTTTTATTTGAAAGAAAGATTATTTTTTAATGTTACAAAAATTTGTTAATAAATAGTTGGATTGAAGGCCCACAAAGTTCGAATTCAAATTCTTTAAATTTTTTAAAATTGGTATATAAATTCTTAATTTACTTTTTCTAATCATGAGGAACTGGGAATTCTACAAATGTTAATAAATTTTCATGTGATCACTGAAAAAAAATAATTGTTATTTATTACCTGACGTGATATTAAATGATTTCATAGAAGTACTATTGTAGCAAAAACTACATTACGAATTTTTTTACAGTTTTTTACAAGGATGTTCAATTTTTATTTTATAGTGGTAATCTCAAACCACTGGTTGAATTTCCTTCATTTGATGCAGAGGTATTTTCATGAAAGACGATTACCTTTCCGACGTTGGTGGGTGAAGCCACATATACAAGAAGACATGCGAGATAATTTTGGAGCCTACGAAATGTTGTTTTTATATTATGCAAATCATGATAGCGAATCTTTCTATAGTTTGATGAGAATGGATGTGAAATCGTTTCAAAAATTGTATAGTTTTCTGCGTTTAAGACTTATCAAAAAAAGTTGGAGAAAGCCCTTGAGCGGAGAACTGCGCCTTGCTTTAACACTGAGGTAAGTTCCAAATTTATGGAAAATATTTCTTCATTTGACAAAATTTTTCTTTAAATCAAAGTTCCAAGGTTGCTACAAAAAAATTAAGTTTCTTTTTCTGTTTTTTACCTACCAATTTTATTCTTTCGGATTTTTCCCTTAATTCGTTGATTTTCCTAATCTGTGGTAAAATTTTAAAAAAATACATAATATACTCTTTACAAATAAACATAACATTTCCTGTTTATAGTTATCTGGCTTACGGTGATAGCCTCTTCACTACATCAAATTTGTTCCGCGTGGGTAGAAGTACAACGTATGAAATTGTAGGAGAAGTTTGTCCTCTGATATGGGAATTGTTGTCGCCGATTTATCTTCCGTGGAAATCTGCCGATGAGCTTAAAGTTGTTGCCCAGGGTTTTTGTGCAAGATGGGATTTTCCAAACTGCATGGGAGCTCTGGATGGCAAAGAAATACGGATTAAAGCTCCACCACATTCTGGCAGCATGTATTATAATTATAAGAAGTTTTTCAGCTTCAAATTATTAGCAATATGTGATGCACTCGATAATTAATTTTAAAAAATTAGCTTTCGAAGATTATTTATTTACAAAAAAAATAGTTCAATGTCTTTGAAGAATTTTATTGTTTATGAAAATAATTGAATTGTTGCAAATAATTTTTTAAAAATGTTTTAAAAAGAATTGATTTTTTGTGAAAAGTTTTATGTTTGAAAATAATTGAGTTCTTCATAAAGATTTTATGAACATTGTTTAAAATAATAATTTAAATATTATTTTTGAAAGTAATTGAAATATTGTGAAACATTTGTATAAAAATATTGTTTAATAATTGATTTTTATGAAAATACTATTCTAAATTAATTGAATTACTATGAAAATTGTATTGTTTATGAAAATAGTTAAATTTTGTATGAATAATTGAATTTAGAGTTTTTTTTTTAAATAATTGAATCGTTTTAAAGAAATTTATTATAATTTTTGTAACAGTTCTTTGAAATATGTAGGTTCTGTGAGTGACTTGTCTGCATTTCGCAACACCGATTTATACAAAGCCCTAGAAATGGGTGAAATTGATCTTCCTAGAGACGATTTCCTACCTCAAAGCAATATTCTTATGCCATACTTTTTTATCGGTGATGCAATTTTTGAACGAAACTGACGCCTTTTAACAGAAACAATATTGTTTCCGAAGAACAAAGAATTTTTAATGAAAGGTATTTTAATTATTTATTATATTCAATTATGATTTATAAGAAAAATATTTAATAATTTAATTTATTGTAGATTATCCAGAGCACGAAATTGTATCGAAGACTCTTTCGGAATCTTGACGAGCAAATGGACAGTTTTCAACAATCGACTTGATTTTAATACAGAAAAGTCGATAAGCGTTGTTCAAGCATGCATATGTTTACATAATTTTGTAATCAATGAGGAACTGATTAATAATCCCGAGAGAAGACGAGTTTCTGTTCCCGCGCGAGTCCGTGCAAATGAAGAAGCAAGGAATGAATTATTTGTTCATCATAATATGCCTAATGACGCTTATGATCAACAACATCTTTTAGCCACCTATTTCATGTCCCCAGAAGGAGCACTACGTTAAGGTATTTTTTTTATTTGAATTTTAAAAAACTGCGGCTTCGTATTCATCTCCTTGTTACGAATAGGATTTAATTTAATAAAAGTAAAATAGATAAATTATTTTATTATCAATTTAAATCTGTCGTGATAACGAAAAATGCTCTTCAGCAAATTAAATAAATTTGAATAGGTAGGGGACTTTTCCTCTCTCACAATTATTAATATCAATTGTGTAGTTACAATTAATAAGAATAGAAATTATTGGTTAAATTAATATTTATTTAATTATCAAATTTACATATATTTTATAAACCTTTAATTTTCCAATATATAAATGTTCTGGGATTAAAATATAAATTATAATAAAAAAAAGAATGTGAATATTCTTTTTAGTAAAATCTCATGAAATCAACTTATGAAAATTGATTTGTGTATATGAGTGTAATGTGAAATTATTTACTCACTTTTAATCGTTATGTTTGCTTCTTTTATTTGTATTTATATCGCAGCAATCTTCCTTTTCTCTTACTTGTATTTAGTCTCAAACTTGATATTCTTTAAAGTGGACTTAATCTCAATTCAATATTTCTATTTTACAATAAATGGGGACTACGCCCTTTAATTCACAAAAAGGATAAAAATTCTTTAGTCTTTATGACTCACAATATATATAACGTTCAGGTACTTTGCCTGAATTAAACTGCCCAACTTAGTTTCGCCAAGTTTACGCGGGCAACTGCCCAGATTTCTTCTTGTCAATTCTTTTTATTGATTGACAATTAGGTGGGGAAATCCTCAATGCAGTTTATTCTGACAGCTTGCAGAATTTGGTACTTGCAAAATTTAGATTTTGACCACTTCGTTGTTGTGCAATAATTTACAAATAATTGAAAGAAACCTTGCCTTGCGATATTAACATAAAAAGAAAAATGTGCTTTGCTTAATTTAATTGTGCTAATTACCCGATTAAAAGTGGGTTGTTAAGAATTTTGCTTAATGTTGGAATTTATTGGTGTTGCCAATAAATATGTATTTTTGTGTAAGAACGATAATTGTGTTTTTAGGTTACAAGTCAAAATTATTAAATGGATTCTATATAATTCAATTAAAATTCGTAGTTTCTATGTAAATATAAAGGTTACGAAGTCATACGTAACACTCCTAAAACAAATTACTATTATTCCTGTTTTCGATTTGCTACTATTTGTATACTTTTTTTAGATTTGTTACAATAAAAACATAATTTTTCTTTTTATTGTGAATTTACACAACTTTAAATCCGTTAATATTTATTCTAAGAAATCAATTTTTTTAGTATGATTATGATTAAATTATTCAAAATAATTAATTTTTCTATTAAGTTCTTAAAACACTTCAAAAAAATTCGATTACTTACAAATATTTCAATAAAATTCTTGTTAAGAATTCCATTACTATTGTAAATAAAATTTTTTACAAAAATTCAATTACTTTATAAAAATTATTCAAGTTTTGAATTTAATCTATAAATTAATTAAAATTCTTTGAATAGTTAAATTCTCGTAAACATTTAGAAATACTTATTTAAATTTGCAATTAATTGGGAATTTTGTCAAATTTTCGTGATTTAAAAATTTTTTTTTTAAATTTAATTTTTTGATTCCCATTCACTTCAATGCATTGCTTCTCCTCCAGTAAAACAGCCATATGGAATTTCCCGCCACCCAACTCGAACTACCTAATAAGAATGAAAGTGTTGCGCAAGCGCAGCGCGCAACTTGTAGCAGTCGTTGTCATTCCTCCAAGTAGACAGAGTGAGACAGACAAATATCAAAAAGCCTGTTTGAACACGTGTTAGTGATAGCTCATATCTGCACAATAAAAAAAAGAATTTAAATTTAAAATGAACACAATTAATCAACAAAATTTTGATAGAATTTTAGTTACTTTGGTGTTTCAAAATCCGTGTATCTATATACCCTACGTGCAACAAACATCACCTCCAGGCACCTTAGGAAGAACGTGGTCCCAAATAAGTTGCAAATTAAAAGAGTTGAGAATCCCAATAACAGGTAATAAATTGTGTATTAAATTAAATGCAGGCGATAGATGTTTACAGTTTTACATTGAAAACTACATTTTATATTGTATGCTTTGTTGTCACGCAACCTGGAAATCCCTGTTTAAAAAATTTGATAGAAATGGAAAGAAAAAAATTTCTTTCCATTTCAATCCTGTTTCTGAATCAAAAATTTTCAACAATTACAATCAGTTTCTATCACATAATTTTAATAGAAAGTCTATCCAAATCAATACTTTGTCTATCCGAAAATTGTCCCATGCGTTGTCCCACTGATTTCGAAGAAAGTCCTATCAAATTCTATCAAAATTGATTATTAAAAATTGTTTCCAATCCAATAAGATTTTTTGATTTAAATTCTATCAAATCCTGTATCGAAAAATAACAAAAAGTTCTTTCCCATTGTATCCGATTGAAAACATAGTTTTAAAAAAAAATTTGTGGAAAAAATAATAAAAGATTCTTATGACCTTTAGTAACATTATATTCTTAGCACACTCCAAACATACAAACATTCTAAATTAAACTGGAGGAATTAAATTAAAACTTGTACCCTATGGGAATCAAACCCCGCACCTATGACCTATCTATCTAAACGCTTAACGACCGCGGCTATCGAATCGACGTGAGAAATATTTTTCGACCTGTCTATATAAACTGCAACTTTGAAAAACGTAAGTTTATGTAAAATATTATAATTTTTGTAAGTACCTAAAAAAATACAAGCAGAAATTAAAATATTTATAGAGATTTGCAATATATGCTATTATGTTAAAAGTATTAATTAAATATTTAATACATTTTTGCTCAAATGTCATTTGACCGCTTTGTAATTTTTTGCAAATATTTGCAAAAAATAACATTAAGCGAAATAAAAAACAGAAAATTCGTAAAAATTAAAATTCGCAAAATGACTGGGTCAGGCCAGCTCAACTGTGTTAAAAAAATTTCAATGATTTTCTAAAATATTAAAACTTTTATGAAACTCTGTAGTTCACAACAAAACAATAAAACACTTTTAATCGTTTTTTGAAATTTTTGTTATTTTTTTGCATTAACAAAATATTACAAACTTTAAAAAAAATTAATAACTCAAAAGTCGTTTACCATAAATTAATAAAATTTACACTGATTACACAAAATTGTTCACTCTTTTAAAAGAAAATATTTGCATGATTGTAAATTTAAAAATTCCCTATTTTTAATAACAATTTTATAAACAATTTGAATTATTTTTGTGTTCTCTACCCCTCCAAATGCAATAAAACTTATAGGAAGTATACTCAGTAGTCTTTTCTTGAAGCTCCTAATAAACAATTTTGGTATTTTCAATTTGGAATGTACCTAACGAATTTTTTATTAAAAACGCGCGTCCACTCCACAATGGGAAAAATTTGATTGTCGTGGAAAATTCAGTCTAGAAGTTACAAATATTATTTGTTTTTAATAAATTTTTTTAAATGAAAGTTTATAAAATTGTGCACCAATCAGATTAAATCTGATATCTTAACTTTAAAAAATATTATTGCTACGCATTTTTTAACTAATATTTTGGAAATTTTTTCCTCTTTTGTTCATATATGTTGTTAAATAAAAAATATTTGTTAACAGTTTTCAAAATTCTACCGCCACAGATCGGTGCGCAATTTTACAAACTTTCATTTAAAAAAAAATTATTAAAAACAAATAATATTTGTGACCTCTATAGACTGAATTTTCCACAACAATCAACTTTTTCCCACTATGGAGTTGGCGCGCGTTTTTAATAAAAAAATTCGTTATGTACATTGGGAGCGTTCACAAATGATGTCACGTTTTTGGGGGGAGGGGGGGTCTCCACTAAACGTGACACAATGAATTTTTACATATGAAATTGCATGAAATTGAGAAAATTTTTTAACACAGTTTAGCCGGTCTGACCCTACTATTGGCAAAATTACAAATAGCAACTGTAACAAATTCATAAAAATATCAATTCCAGAAATGCAAATTTGCAAAAATAAAATTTGCAAAACAACAATTAGCAGAAATAATGATTCATAACAGAGCAGTTTTGCAAAAAAGAAAAAATAAGAATTAGCAAAAGTATCTAACAATTTGTAAAACTGTCAATTGCGAAGAATGCAAGTTTGCAAAAATAACAAATTTGCAAAATAACAGTTTAGTAAAATAAATATTTGTAAAAATGTAAATTTGCAATAATAATTTTTTGCAAAAATAACTATTGGCGAAAATGACAATTTTATGAATTCCAATTCGCGATTAATCAAACTCTTTAAATTCCAAATAGAATGCATCCCCGAATAAAATTAAACCAAGATGACATTATTCAAGATCCAAACTCAAGCTTGTTGATTTTTAATTTGACATGACAAGTGAAATTTCATGTGGAAGGAATTTAATAGGTGTTCCATCAAAACTCATAGATAGAAAGTTATAAGACGTTTCAGATAATAGGATTTGGTAGAAAATGTATCCAAATCTTTGATAGAGAAATATAGTATTTTCATGTTGAAAGAATTTGATAGGTATTCAATCAAAACTCATAGATAGAAAATTATAAGATTTTTCGACTCATAGAATTTGATAGAATTTGTATCCAAATCTTGGATAGAGAAATATTAAATTTTCATTTGGAAAGAATTTGATAGGTATTCAATCAAAACTCATGGATAGAAAACTATAAGAATTTTCGACTCATAAAATTTGATAGAATTTGTATCCAAATCTTGGATAGAGAAATATTAAATTTTCATTTGGAAAGAATTTGATAGGTATTCAATCAAAACTCATGGATAGAAAACTATAAGAATTTTCGACTCATAAAATTTGATAGAATTTGTATCCAAATCTTGGATAGAGAAATATTAAATTTTCATTTGGAAAGAATTTGATAGGTATTCAATCAAAACTCATGGATAGAAAACTATAAGAATTTTCGACTCATAAAATTTGATAGAATTTGTATCCAAATCTTGGATAGAGAAATATTAAATTTTCATTTGGAAAGGGGCCGTACACATAATACGTCACGCGATTTTTGACCATTTTTAACCCCTCCCTCCCCCTATGTCACACTTCGTCACAAACCTTGAACCCCCCCTCCCCCTATAACGTCACGTCACACACGTAAATTTTAATGTGAATTTTATACATTTGACATTATATATTATATCCTACACTCAAAATTATTGAATCAGTTAAAAATATTTTTTTCTGACAATTAGTTAAAAATAACTGATGTTTCAATACAATTTTTTTTGATTAATTCATTTAGTCACGTTTAACTACCTATATCACCGAAACTTTCCTAAAAATTTATTAAAGATTTACTCGCAAGCTTAGAAATATTTAAATGCAAAGTTTAGTGAAAATTGTGTAAAGATTTAAATATCCCACTTCAATAAATGTTTAACGCGAAACTTTCCTGAAAATATTCACGAAATTATAGTCGAAAATGTAATTAAAATGTTCAGGAATGTTTCAAGCTATATTTTTAAGAAAATTTGACGATAAACATTTATTGTATAGTGAGAAATTTAAATCTTTACACAATTTTAACTAAACTTTGCAAGTAAATTTTTCGAAGTATGCAAGCAAATCTTTAATATACATATTTAGAAAAGTTTCGGTGTTTTGTGGATAATTTTTCAGTTGTTTTTAACTGATTCAGAAGCAAAAAGTCAGTCACTACTGATTGTCAGTTAAAACCATGATTTTTAACTGATTCAAATTAAAAGAATATATTATTTATCATCATATTATAAATAATATGCCAATAGATGTTAAACAGGAACATAATAGATATTAAATAGTTTAAAGCATTTTTAACTAGTTTTATTTAGAAAAAGTGACATTGTCACATATAATTTCTTATAATCTTTGAATTTAAAAGATTGTAACGTAACACATGAGTTCACCCCCCCCCCTCCCCCATGTCACACTTAGTCACAATTCTCAGACCCCCTCCCTCCCCCTAGCCGCGTGACGTATTATGTGTACGGCCCCAAAGAATTTGATAGGTATTCAATCAAAACTCATGGATAGAAAATTATAAGATTTTTCGATTCATAGAATTTGATAGAATTTGTATCCAAACTCTTGATAGTAAAATATTGAATTTTAGTATATTATTAACTTTGATAGATAATACATCAAAACTTATGATAGGAATGGATTTCATTTTCTACTTTGGATAGAAGTGGATTGGATTTTTAATATTTGATTAAATTGGATTCGAATTTCAAGGATTGAAGGAAGAAAATTCTATCAAATCCTATCCATTTTAATAATTTTTTTAAACAGGGATGTCAGGGTATTATATAAACATTGAAGAAACCTGGAATAGTCAGGCAATTTTGATCGAAATCCTGGAAAATTATTGTTTTCTTAAGTTATTGTGCTTATTCTTGAAATCTAATTATTCTTAAATATTTCAAAATTAATTCGATTTAAATATAATTAATTTTAATATAATTCAATTATTTTCATGAATTTAATCAAATTTTTTAAACGGATTAAATTATTTTTATAATTAATAATACTCTTCGCAGAATTTCAATTATTTTTAATACAATTTTAATTAAATTTTTTGAAATAATTTAATTATGTTTAAAAGTTTTCAAGAAAAGTCTTCAAAACAACTAAATTCTTATAAAAAATTTTAATAAAATTATTCCAAGGTTTCAATTACTTGCAAAAGTTGTAATAAAATTCTTATCAAGAATTCAATTATCTTAGAAATAACAAAATTCTTTCAAAAAATTCAATTATTTTTAAAAAATTTAATAAAATTCTTCTCAAGAATTCAATCATTTTACAATACAATTTTAATTAAATTGTTTTTATAAGTTCTAAAAAAATTCTGTAAAATAAATAAATTCTTCTTAAAAATTTTAATATAATGATTTCAAAAATTTAATAATTTGCAAAAGTTATAACAAAATTCTTATCATGAATTCAATTATCTTTAAAATAACAAATTTTTGTGCAAAAATTACATTATTTTTAAAAAATTTAATAAAATTCTTCTAATGAATTCAATTATCTTCGAAATTCATAAATAACAAAATTCTTCGCAAAAATTCAATCCAAAATTCAATTATTCTTAAAAATGTTTAAAAAAATGTTAATAAAATTTTTGTCAAAATTTCAATTATCTTAAAAGCTTTTCTCAATTCAAGCAAATTTTTTACAGAGATTAAATTATTTTTAATACAATTTTAATTTAATTTTTCGAAAAATGAAATTATTCTTCAAAATTTTATTAAAATTCGTCAAAATAATTTTAATTATACCCATTTAAAAATTTGTTGATAAAATTCTTTATGAAAATTCTATTTTAAAAAACATTAAATTCTTCAATAAATTATTTATGTTTGTATTTAAATAATTAAATTCTTGTAGAATTTTCTGATAAAAATTGATTTAAATATGAATTTCAGTTAAAATTTTAGATAATTATTGAATATTAAACTCTCTAAATTGAAGTTAGTAAAAATGTGTTCTAATTTGAATTAGTGACTAACTTTTTGCTTTTCAATTAGCAGATTTTACTAATAAATAGTCGTTTCTACTAATTTAATAGTAAAATTTGCTAATTCAAAAGGAAAAGGTCAGTCACTAATTCCAAGTAATAAACATGTTTACCAATTCAAATTTATACAGAAAGTATTGTAGCGTGGATTTTTAGGAATAATTGAATTTTGAAAAGGTTTCAAATTACAATCTTTGAATGTTTGAATTTTTTATACTTTTAATTGAAAATTGTGTAGATTTAATATTTTCTTAAAAAGTTTAATTGAATTTTTTTAAGTTATTTGAAGTTTTTATTTTCTAATACATATTTGATTGAACAATTTCAGAATAATCGATGAAATTTCATAAAATTAAATTGCAAACAAAAGAATTTGAAAATTTTCAATCATTTTTTTTAAAAAATTATTAAAAACAATTAATTTAAAGAAGAATTTTAGTAAAAAATTCCGGAAAACAATAATTGAATTCAACTGATGAAAGTTATTTTGAAGGAGTTACAGTAACAGTATTTTATAATATGAACTAATGATTCCATCAGTCCGTAATTTTTAATATTATTATAAATTTTTTAATTTTAGAAAGGTTTTAATTTGAAATTTATGAAAATCTTAATTCATATGGAAAACTTATAAGGATTAATTATTAAATTTTGTAACATATATGTAGTTTTAAAAACTTATTTTTATTTCATTTAAAAAGGAAGAAAAGTTCGTAAATTGTACAATATAGTTTTGAGAATTTTAGAGAAATTACAAATGATTGCAGGAAGTTAATTATTTCTATAAAAGTAATAAAATTCTTCGCAAAAATTCAATTATGTTCAAAATTTTTTTTAAATTCTTGTCAAAATTTCAATTATTTTTAGAAATATTAAAATTCTTTTCCGAAATTCAATTATTTTCAAAAAATCTATTAAAAACGGTCAACATCTCAATTATCTTTATAAATAAATAGCAAAATTCTTCGACAAATTTCAATTATTTTTAAAGTAATAAAAAATATCAAAAATTTTAATAAAATCCATTGAAAAATTTCAATTATTTTCCAAAGTAATAAAATTCTTTTTAGGAATTCAATTATTTTCAATAGAATTTTTTTAATTCCTCGAAAAAATTCTTAAAAATTTTATTAAAATTCGTCCAAATAATTTAATTATTTAAAAATTTGTTGACAAAATTTTTAATAGAAATTGATTTCCAAGAAAAAATTCAATTATTCAATAAATTATTTGGTTTTGTATTTAAATAATTGTATTCTGGTAGAATTTTCTCATAAATATTGATTTAAAAATAGATTTCAGTTAAAATCTTAGATTATAATAATTGAATTCTTTCAAAGAATTTCATTAAAATTTTAAAAATAATTGAATTTTATCGAGACATTATTTTTAAATTGTCTTAAAAATAATTAAATTTGTACTAAAAAAAATGTTATCAAAACTTTTTTAAAATGTTTGAATTTCTGCTAAAATTCAGATATTTTTGAAAATAATTGAATAGTTGCGAAGAATTTTATTAAGACTTTTGAAAGTACATAATTGAATCTCTGCAAAGATTTTTATTATTTTACGAAAAATATTTAAATTCTTGCGAAAAATGTTATTAAAATTTCTGAAAGTAATTGAAGATCTGATAAGATCTTTGTTATTTTTAATTGATGCCAAGAATTTTATTAAAAATTTTTTTAAATAATTGAATTCCTGTTAATTTTTACAAGAATTTAATTATTTTTGAAAATTTTAATAACATTCGATATAAAGAATAGTTTTAGATAAAAATTCTTAAAAATAATAATTGAATTGATAATGATTTTAATTATTATAAATTATTTTTATTAATAATTATTATTAATTATTATAAAACGTGAAGAAAACGATGACTTCGAGTCGAAGACTCGGAGTTCTCGATTTCTTCATGTTTTTTAGTTATGAAAAACTGAATTTCTGGTTTTAAGTAAAATATTCTCTTATTTGATTCGCCCTGATTCTATTTTTGTCAGTTGGTCCGTAAAGTCCGTATTTTTAAATACTTTCACTTCTTCGAGCCCTGCCTGGAACACCTGGAAAAGTCAGGGAATTTGAAATGAGCAAAATTTTATAACAAATTTTATTTAATTTACAGATCCGCAGAAGAGGTGGAACCAATTAAGAAGATCTTTCAATGGACATTATAAAAAATGCAATTCCAGTTGGTACTTATATTATGATCTTCAATTTTTAGTTCAGCACAGCAGAATTAAATCATTCAAAAATCCTGGATCTTCCGGACTTCAAACTGTTCCTAATGCAAAAAATACTCATCTTTCAGTGTCAGGTGTGCAATTAAATATTTTTTTAAAATTAATTGAATCATTATAAAATATATAATCGAAAAATGTGTATTTTTTATAGATGTTGAAATGTCTTCACCGTCTTGCAGCTCTTGGGGAGAGATCATCAGATGGAAATAATGATGCAGAGAAATCCTCAACTGATGCGGAAAATGTTAATTTTCATAATTTATTAGAAGATAACGAAGCAACTGACCAAAAACCATTTTCGAATTACGATGTCTTATATTTTGAGGATGAAGTTATTACAGTTGATGACGATAATGTGATATCACAAGCTTCAGATTTTTTACAAACGTCGTCATTCTCACAAATTTCTCCAGTTCATCAATCGTTTTCCACTTTTTCGCAATCACAATCTTCATTATTGCCTTCACAATATTCAACTTTGCCAAATGAAGATGATTTTCAAAGTGGCAATTCTTCATGTCGACAACAGTCAGAATTATTCGAATCGCAAGTTAATTCACAATTACATTCCACAGAAGATGAATTTCAATCACAATTAAGAGGATTTTCAAAAAATTCATTGTCGATTTCTGCACTTCAAAATCCTTTTGCAACATTTTCTCAACTTCAAGAACCATCCACATCAGCAACCTTACAATTTGGGGATTCTTCAAAAAATTCTTCCACGATTTCTCAACCGCATATTATTTCTACGACTTCTCATCAACTCCAAAAGCAATCATTAAATCGAAATTTAAAAAGAAAAGTAATGCCTGATAAACCTAATGCATTTGATGCATTCCCTACAGCTCCCAAAATGAGACAATACACTCGAATACAAGATATTCCTAAAACTCAGTTGACTAGTAAAGCTAATAAGTTACCGCCGATAGATCGATTTGCAAAAGAAAAATGTGCCAAAAGGCAAAATGAAATGTCCAGTATTAACGAAGCAATCTTGCGCACGTCTGAAAATTTTCAAGAAATGTCAAATGCATTTACTCAATTCGCGAAAACGAAACAATTAGTCTTACAAAAACAGTTGCAGAAGACTGATACTCCTGTCCCTCGTGGAGATGCTCTCTTTAATTTATGTGCAAATGACTAGATGCAGATTGAAGAAAATAAACAGAAGGATTTAATGGACAGAGTCTTAGATATCTTGCTGAAATATAAAAAAGATTAGATGCACTATTTCGCTGTGTGCTTTTTACGACAAATGTTATTTACATTACTCGTTTGAAAATGCCCCCCTTCGTCATTAATTTTTTCTGTTAAATGTTAAGTATCTCTCAAATAATTATTAAATTACAACAATAATAAATATCACAGGTAATTTTAAAGGTTAAAGTGTGTGCTAATGGTTATCCACTTGCCAAAGAACCACAATTTTCTGTTATATTTTATAAAATTTAATAAGTTTTGAAATATGTACTGCATTTTGCTGATTTCAATATTTGTTAATCAAAATTAAAATTTGACAGAAAGGATCGTTTTTAAATAATTGGTATATTATTTAATTTTGAAGTTGAAGTTTATTTTAAGTTATGTGAATTTTAACTATTCTAAAAAATGTATTATTTTGATACATATCATAAAAAGTTTTTATTATGTTTAAAAACAGAAATTTGAATATTTAGAAATATATCAAATTATATAATGTTATTCAATTATATTTTATAGATATTTAACTACTATTGACGCGCTATTTAATGTTGAAGTTTAAGTTAATTTTAAGTTAAGTGAATTTTCACTATTCACACTAACAAATTTATTATTTTCATACACTAATAGCCATAAACAGTTTATTTTGTTTACAAACAAAACTGAATATTTAAAAATTTGACAAATTATATATTATTATTCAATTATATTTTCTAAATATTTCAGAGAAATTATAAGTTATTATAATTCATTAGTAAAAACAGAACCAAAAATTATTTTTCTTACTTGAAAAGAATAGGGGAGAGGGCCCTAAGGTGGTCACCCATCTTTTAAACGACTGTAGATTTCTAATGGAATTATATATAAAGGTCAATAATACGGCGTTTGAAACTTTATCTTATCACCTAACTTCCTATCATGAAGTTTTTTTCATTTCATTAATAAAAAAAAAGTTATGGCACTTTTTAAAAAAAGTTGAAAATTCGACTTTTAAAAAAGTGGCCCCAAGGTGGTCACCATACAAAAATTCACTAAAAAAGTTTTAAAAAAATGTAAAAAAACGTATTATTAAGTTGTTTATTTAATATTAATTGTTTTTCAGGATGACAGAAACATATTACATAATATTTTTTTGCACTTTGTCCTTTCTTCAAAAATGATACTTTTTGTGTATGTATTAGTCAGGTAAAATTATGAAAATAATTCTATTTCATTATTATTCATCATAAAACTTAAAAATTGATAAAATTCACATTCACAGTGATAAATGTTGATAAATATAGCGTATAAGCACATTTTCATAAAAAATCAAAAGTGACCACCTTGGGGCCAAAAAAGTGTCCACCTTAGGGCCAAGACACAATTTTTTAAACGTTAATGAAAAAATTTTTTAAAGCACAATATTAATTATATTCATTTGGAATACTATTGTACGATATATAAAGATAATTATAACGATTTTTACTAATTAAAAATGGTTAATTTCGATGATTTTAACACCCTGAGAAAAAAATTTCTCGATCATTTAAAAACAGAAATTTCACGACGTTCACGTTACAAAGAGACTCATACGATTATTTACCTCAAAACTTTACTAAAATCTTTGCCTTCTCAAATAATGACAATAACAAAAAACATTTGAAGATACTAACTAATATACAACAATTTTCTTAGGGTGACCACCTTAGGGCCCTGACCACCTTGGGGCCCTCTCCCCTACTTTAAATAATTTCTACGGTAAATAAATTTGTTTCATTTACTTCGAAATGTGTTTTTATTTCATTTAAAATTAATAAGGATTATCCTTCTTTCATTAACTGACTTAATTCTTTATAACAATTTACTTTTTGATTTTGAGGGATGTTGTCCCATATATCTTTTATCACAATCAATCGCTCAATTTTAATATTATTTTTTTGAAGTGATGATTCGTCTGGTTCAGAATATTCTATCTGGGTCGGAGAAGAAGATGGTGCATTGAGAGGAAAGTAACAGAAGATATCTGAAAATAGAAAATTAAACATGCTTCATATAGTTTTTTTTTAAAGCAAGCAATCAACTTTTATTTAAATCGAGTTTCAAAACAAAAATAATAAAAATCTTTTTATGGAAATGTATGAATGAATTTCCATGATTTCATTAAAGGCTCCCACTCAATACTTAATTTTAAAAAATAGCAAAAAGTAGTTTTAAGACTGAAAAAAGTAGCTATTCAAAATTATAAATATGATGACTAATAAACTCGTTTGAGTTAATTTACAAAAATTTTATTCTGAGTATTACCCGACATTTTTCTCATTTAAAATAAAAAATCACTTTTTTTCTTATCCAGATTATAACTTCAATTCTAATTTTTTATAAAAAAACAATTATTTTCCAGATTTTTATTTAGAATTCTTTAAAAATTTAAATTATATAAATATAGTTTTTTGAAACAAGAATTTTGTTAAAGAACATAACATTTATTTTAACAAAATTTAACTATATTATTCATTCAATATTCAATTATAATCTAAAAAAATTGACCGCTCAGATTTAAAGACAAATACACAGTTTTGAAAATATGCTTATTTGTTTAAAAAAATTTTTAAATTAAATCATTTTTTTAAACAAATAAGCATATTTTCAAATAGATGAGTGAGAAGCCTGTCATTAATAAACTATTTTCATTTTTTAAAAATTGACACTTAATTATACCACCATACCACTTTAAAATTCACCTGCATCATCGAACACTTCTCTTCCTTCTTCTTCCTGTATTTGAACTTCACCTTCTTCTTCATGTTCTTCATCTTCACCTTCTTCTAGGTGCTCATTTGGTCTTTGGAAACTACTAACAGTACTGAAAGTAAATGATTATTTCCGTTATTAAAAAAAATTGACTTTATGATTTATACAGCAGATTAAATACAGGAAATTTTTATACAGGAAATTAAGAAAAAAATTATTTAATTCTAACCTTTTGTGATCGACGATATCTTTTAAAAAAATCAACTCGTCGTAGTACATCCATTTTTCTGTATGGCATTGAGCAGACGAACCTGATGGAATATATGCTTTAATTTTTGTTCTTTCCTTCACAAAAATGTCTTTTAATTTTTTCCATCTTTTGAATGCTTGATCAGCTGCAATAAAATAAAATGCACTGAAACTAACTTAATTCAGATTTAAAATTATAAAAGGTACAAAAATTATTATTATAATTTACTAATGCAAAATTTTTTAAAAATAAAGTAACTTTCAAATTTTTCTTTCAAAAATATCACAAAATTTATTCTCAAAATCTTAATTAGGAAAAACTGAAAGTAATTTTAAAAAATTATATTTCATTTAAACTTAATTTTTAATACTTAATTAGAATAAGATTATAATTAATTGTTTTTAATTTTTAAGAATAATTTTCGAAAAGATTCAATTATGTTCAGAAATTTTAATAAATTCTTGAAAACAATACAATTTTTTCCTTAATTCGTTATAAAATTTTCCAAAAAAATTTAATTATTTTCTAATGTTTCAATAAATTTTTCGAAACATTTCAAATATTTTTATAAGTATTTAGAAAAATTTATCGCAAGAATTAAATAAAAAATAGTAACGATTAATTTAAAAAGTTGAAAAAATTCTTTGTTAAATAATTTATTTTTAAGAGTTTTACTTAAAATTAATTTAAAAAACTACATTTTCAAAAACACTTAAAGAAATTCTTTAAAGGAATTTAATAATTTATAACATGGGTCAAACCATTTTATTTCGCCTAATGTATTTTTGACCTTCAGAAAAAATTTCAATACTTCGGGAAAATATTCTTACATGTTTTGGGATTACGAAATGCACAATGATTTGTAAAAAATAATTTCATTTCATATAAAAAAAGATATTATAAATTGAGAGTACATGAAAAAAGGTTACATTGACAGGCATTACAAAATATTTAAAAAAGGAGTAATCTCTTTAAGAAATATAAAAAAAGCGATTGCTATTTATTTTTAAAGACTTAATTTGTGATTTGAACTTGATAAAAGTATCAAATGATTTATAATAAACTGTAAAATATGTTATTTAAGTTTCTGTATGAAATGTCAAAAATCGATCATATTTAACAATTTTTTTTGACAAAGTCATTTAATTTTCGTAAATCAGAATTATTTAAATAATAAGTATTTTAAATACACTTTATTATTATTTAAATACTTTTTTGATTATCAACTGAGAAATATAAAAAAATTTACTTTAAAAATGAACCATTCTTCATTTTATCGGGATTTTGAATGTTTGTAACTTCGTTGGAGAAAACCCGATTTAAGCCAAATTTTTGGAGCATGTTGATTGAAACAATATCTTCCTGCTACTAAAATTTCGCGATGGGTTTTGCACAAGTTTTCAAAAAAAATTGATTTAAAAAAAGTATTTATTTTGAAGGTTAATGACAAGTATTATAGCTGACTTGAAGTTGGTTTGTTTTAAACTGACTTTAAAAAAATCGTTTTATTTTGAATTTGACTTTTATTGCAAGTAGCGAACCAACTTCAAGTCAGCTATAATACTTGTCATTAACCTTCAAAATAAACACTTTTTTTAAATCAATTTTTTTTGAAAACTTGTGCAAAACCCATCGCGAAATTTTAGTAGCAGGAAGATATTGTTTCAATCAACATGCTCCAAAAATTTGGCATAAATCGGGTTTTCTCCAACGAAGTTACAAACATTCAAAATCCCGATAAAAAGAAGAATGGTTCATTTTTAAGGTAAATTTTTTTATATTTCTCAGTTGATAATCAAAAAAGTATTTAAATAATAATAAAGTGTATTTAAAATACTTATTATTTAAATAATTCTGATTTACGAAAATTAAATGACTTTGTCAAAAAAAATTGTTAAATATGATCGATTTTTGACATTTCATACAGAAACTTAAATAACATATTTTACAGTTTATTATAAATCATTTGATACTTTTATCAAGTTCAAATCACAAATTAAGTCTTTAAAAATAAATAGCAATCGCTTTTTTTATATTTCTTAAAGAGATTACTCCTTTTTTAAATATTTTGTAATGCCTGTCAATGTAACCTTTTTTCATGTACTCTCAATTTATAATATCTTTTTTTATATGAAATGAAATTATTTTTTACAAATCATTGTGCATTTCGTAATCCCAAAACATGTAAGAATATTTTCCCGAAGTATTGAAATTTTTTCTGAAGGTCAAAAATACATTAGGCGAAATAAAATGGTTTGACCCACATCTCAAATA